ATATATATATATATATATATCCATTTATGAATCAGGAAGTGAATCCTCACCAGACACCAAATCAGCTGGTGCCTTGACATTGGACTTCCAGCCTCCAGAAGTGTGAAAAAAATAAGGGGTTTTTTTTGTTTATAAGCTCCCAGATCATGGTATTTTGTTATAGCAACCAAAACAAAGTGAGACAGGAAGATATAACTTCCCTATATATATATATATATATCCATTTATGAATCAGGAAGTGAATCCTCACCAGACACCAAATCAGCTGGTGCCTTGACATTGGACTTCCAGCCTCCAGAAGTGTGAAAAAAATAAGGGGTTTTTTTTGTTTATAAGCTCCCAGATCATGGTATTTTGTTATAGCAACCAAAACAAAGTGAGACAGGAAGATATAACTTCCCTAAAACAATTTGTAACTTTTCCATTGATGAAGAGCTTAAAATGTTTAATTTTCATAGTTAATAGAAAGAGGAAAAAAGAAAAGAGGAAGTGACAGCTCAAAAACATGCCACAGCTACAGGTTATTTGAGTTCCTGAAAAGATAAGTCTAAATGGAATTTTAATAAATTAAACCCTATTTTGAATGCATGGCAGACAGGATGAGGGCTACTTAATACACTAGGGGGTGACTCCTCCAGTGATTGTATTTGAACATTTATTGAAGGGCTACTCCTCACCAGACACTGGGTTAAGTGCTTTTACATGAGTCCTTGCAAAATCTTCCCAAAATATCTGTAAGGCAAGAATAAATATGGCCTACTTTGTAGATGAAGACCTGAAGTTTGGTGGAATTTAATAACTTGGATAAATCTACTCAGAGAGTAAATAACAGAGCCAGGAGCCTGACCCTCAAGCCCATACTATACCTCCTGAGCTGGATAATAATAACATTTTTAATATTTATAGCTTCCTGTTGCTACTATAACAAATTAGCACAAATGGAGGTTTAGTATAATATATTTATTATCTAACATTCTATTATCTAAAAGTCATTTTCACTAAATGAAAGGTGTCAGCAGGTCTGGGACTTCCTAGATCCATTTATTTGCCTTTTCTGCTTCTAGAGGCTGCCTGCATTCCTTCGCTTCGGCCCCTTCCTCACCAAAGTTCATCACTCCAACTCTCTTCCACAAGCACATCACCTTCTGGCTGATTCTGACTCTTCTTTCATCCGAAGCATAAGAACCCTGTGATTACACTGTCCCATAGAGACAATCCAGAATAATCCCCCATCTCGAGATTCTTAATCACATCCGCAAACTCCCTTTTGTCGTGTAAAGTAACATTCCCAGGTTCCAGGGATTAGGTGGCTATCTTCGGAAGGCCATTACTCAGCATACCACAAAAGGACAATCAAAATAAAGATGAAAGAGAGGTAATAAACCATAGAGAATGAAAGACGATAAATGGGTAAGAAGCTTACTACAAATAAACGTACATATATTGGTGACTTAGTAGCAGTTAAGGGCTGAAGGAAATATGATATACCGTATTACATAAGCTGCAAAAACATGCCAGAAAGCTCAACAATTTCAGAAGCAGAATTAATGTGCTCATTTCCAGTTGCTATAGTCAACAGCACCACCTAAATTAAAGCCTAGCATAGGAGTCGTAGTCACACATCAAATGCCCGTACCCCATTCCTCCTAAAGCCAGGTGAGCCCCTTCCCTGACTGACCAAAACCAGGCGCTCCTGGGGTCTCTCAGGCCTGTGTAACTGCAGGATAGGTGGGAGGACCCAGCTGCAGAGCATGAGAAAAAGTTGAGCCTGTGCGCATCCCTATTTTCTGGAAAGCCTCCGTTTCCCCCAGGGTCACAGCCTGGCAGATCACATAGGGCCTTGTGGGCCGTTCTAACCAAGTAGGGTTTTACTGAGAAAGCACAGGGAGCCCTTGGAGGCTGTAAGCGGAAAAGTGCTGTGCTCTGCTATGAAGTGCTGTGGTTACCCTGAAACGGGAGAGAGAGCAAGGACAGAGCATGCAGAGCTAGGAGAAGCCTCCTGGTGCTACAGCCTGTTCCTCCAACATATCTCTCTCTGAACCCAGCAATGATCATCTAGTCCAGGCCACACATCCCTTCCAACTCTGGTCAGTCTCCTGTGCGCCTCCAGCTGTCTCACACACAGGCCAAACTCCATCCATGTGCTTTGTATCATAAAACCCTAACTCTCTTCATTGTCGTAGAAGTC